AGCGCCGCCGCGCTTCCCAAGCGGCGCACTATCCAGTGCACCACCGGGCCGGCCCCGATGCTGGATTTTTTTAAAGCCTACAGTTAATCAACGTCCACCTGCTTCCTAAATAAAGCTTTCACGCTATTCCTCTCTTTCTTGTCTTGCCTTATAGTCATTCACAGTCTTATTTCCACTTTGTTTTTATACTCTCCAGATTATTCTCTATTGTTACTGTTGCCTTATGGAGATATTTGCTCCTATTTACTCATGCATTCGTCAAGTTACTAGCTTGCCATTCCTTCTTGCCTTGCTTTCTTCTTTTTCATTCAGTTCTTCATGTCTCTTAACCTGTCTTTCATCCTCTTCCATCGCTTCATCTCCTCGTGAGAAACTTCTTCGGATCAATGCTTGTTAGCTGGTCTATTCTGTTCTTTAAACTATCCCTTAAGGATTTCTTTTTCAAGGACTTTATTTTTCACTTCCAGAAATTCTACCTGATTCTTTTTCAAATCTGCCCTGTCTCGCATTTTGTACTCATGGGTGTGTTTGTCTGTCTGTTTTTGGCAGCTGGCCATTATGGGGATCTGAGCCCTCAACCTTGGTGTTATGACACTGTGCTCTAACCAACTGAGCTAACTGGCCAGCCCTATACTCATGTTTTTTATTCTTTATTGTTTAATAATATTAAACCTATTTTTATAAGGTATACCCAAGAATTATATTACATAAAGTTTTTTTTTTTTTTTTTTTTTTTTTTTAAAGATGACCGGTAAGGGGATCTTAATCCTTGACTTGGTGTTGTCAGCACCACGCTCTCCCAAGTGAGCCACAGGCTGGCCCTTATATAAAGTTCTTCGAAGTGTAATTCTACTCCCTGACATTTCTACTAACTCTTGCTCATGTTTCCTGATGTATTCCATAATTTTGCATTGTGAGCTCTAATTCCATGGGCTTTTACATGTGACAATCCTGTGCAACTCATTTAGAAAGCATATCCCTCTAGAGAAATGTTTAGTTTGCTTTCTAATAATGTTTAATAATGTCTCATACAATATTTAGGTGTCCTGATTTTTTTCTTCAATATTTGGAACATATTTATGCTAAAAAATTATTTATTATCTGATACTCAAATTTAACTGGACTCATTTTACTTTATTTTATTTTATTTTTTGTCTTTTTTGTGACCGGTAAGGGGATCGCAACCCTTGGTGTGGTGTCACCCGCACCGCGCTCAGCCAGCGAGTGCACCGGCCACTCCTATATAGGATCCGAACCCGCGGCAGGAGCACCGCTCTCTCCCGAGTGTGCCACAGGGCCGGCCCTAACTGGACTCATTTTATCTAGTATAAAATATTTTATCTTCTACAGTTTATCTTCATACCACTTGATGTAAAGCTGAAGTCACATCTCCCATCCCTAAATAATTGTTAAAACTTCAGTACCTTGGGGCCGGCCCGGTGGCGCAATGGAGAGTGCGCCAAGCCCCGCCGAGGGTTCGGATCCCATGTGGAGACCGGTTCCCGCTCACTGGCTGAGCACGGTG